GAAGTTCGAGACAATGATTGAACATTTTGCAAATTATGTATTATAGTATTATTCTTCTATTTTACCAAGTAACTCTGTAATTATGTGCTAAATATGATTCGATTATCCCCACTGGTGTTCTGTTCATTACATCTCCATTGTTGTTTAGGATTACAATTGATCAGTCTCTGATTGACATATGTGTATCTAATGTGGAACGCTTCGATATTGCCTTAATTCATAAGCATTCCATTGCTTATAATGTCTTCTAATGGTCTATGAACAGTCATGTAACGTAGTGTATACAAATTGATTCAATCAAACAGATGGAATAAATTATAGTCTGTATTTTACAACGTTAGTCAACTTTAGACTTTAATGTAATTCAGATGTAGCATTATCAATAAAAATACTGTTCCATCTGTAAATGAATTAATTCTAATGGTTATAGTTAACCAATCAGTAATTTATTAGATGGTTTATTGAAAGTAAGTTTTACAAAAAATAATTTTACGATCCTGCTCACGGGATTCAATGATCGTAGGATCATAGATGAGCATTGTTGAGGAGTCCCACAATAAGACGAAACGGTCATCTACATTTTCAATGGTGATCTAACATGAATCGGTTTATAATCTCAATCAAAAACTTAATCATCTTCAAAACCCTATACTGATAATAATTTTAATCAAAAGTTGAAGTCTAATAACAGTTGAATGATCATTACACTACTCAATAATTGTTTATTTAAATAAGGTTTTAGTAGTGAATCACAACTGTTGAAGCTTTTAAAAAGTGGGACGAAACAATTTTTTAACTATATTTTTGGTTCTAGATACCTAGAGTAGAGAGATATATAATCATTAGATCTTTATTGTATTCTTAAACTGCACCAATCTACAGTCCTCCGCTCTACCAACTGAGCTATAACCCCTAAATGCCCTGGTATATCCGAGAGTAGGGAGAGTCACTTCTCCCTCTTGAATGGATCTCACATGGCCACGTGCATACAGTCATTGCCAGGGATTTCCTACTCATCGCATTCTCGCAACGGGTGTATGGGTTACGAAATCGAGAGGACGAAAAGTAAATGTTCGGTGCTTCAACAGGGTTGGTAGACACGGAAGTTCTATCTAGGGCAGTTGGAAGACCCTCATTCCAAATCAATGATGTATATGAGCTCCAGGATCCTGAAGTAACAAATGACGTATGAACTAATTAATAGTCATCGGTTATCATGTAACGGCATCTGCTTACGTCGCTCCATCGCTTTATGGATCAGACCTTCAGGTCAAAAGCTCCGGGGTGGTCCCCTAAGAAAACCACCTGCTTCGGTTTGAGCACTCGAACAGTTTCTCACCTCTCACACAAATCGAACGATTTATATGACGCATATCTAATTGGTGTCTCCTTGTACCAAGATTTATGTGTTTTAATAAATAAGAGTATTCATAAACAATCGATTGAATACACACACACACACACTGATAGAGTAAATATAAATACAAAAAAGGGTTTGAATTTTCGTATGGCTAAGGTTTATACCTTAGTATACGCCTTTTTACACTTTTATACAACACCACAAAAGCCTAGTTAAGATCAATCTTATGGCCTGTTTCAATTATATGTTTAGCAATAGAGGATAATGGATGTTTATCCTCTGCTCTTATTGGGTCACTTGATTGTATCTGTTTCTGCAACCATTTAGGTACATATTCACACACTCTAATTTTGAGATCACGATTGCTCCACCCTATGTATATGTGACCACACACATTAAAATTGATGAACACAGTGGGATGTGACATAATCGTTTTCATACCTTTTAGATTTTGGATGAAGCATTCACCTTGTTCTTTCTTTAATAATGACCTTTGCTACGCAATACGTTTTTGTTTCAATAAAAGGCTATTTGAATCACCTCTGAATGGTAAAGTGATGTAGACAGGCTTTTTTTCTACCAAGACTACAGTAGGTTTCATTATACCATGGACTTTCTTATTGGGTCACTTGATAGTATTTATGTGATCAGATTGTTCGAAATGTATCATTACATAGTTCTGGTCATCTTCGTCTTCTTTTTACATTATCGAGATTTATTAATGGAACTAATTGCTTTGAAAATACAAAAATAAGTTGAAATCATGAGTCAATTGAAGCTAGACCACCATGGGAAACCTGGAAGTACTGAACGGCCGTTTCGTCCTAGTATGTGACTCCTCAGCAATGTGCATCCAGGACCTCGCCCCCTGCGAGATTCAAATCCAGAACCTACTGGTTTCGTGCGTGTGCACTTAACCTGTCGACCACTGAGCCGGCCGGCATTCAACGGTGTTAGTATCTAACTTCAACCAATCCACGAAGTTGAGCCCATTGACTCATGATTTCAACCAGTGAAATTTCTAAGATCTTCACAAAACCCTTTCTGACAAAAATAAGTCTCATTTTTTCTTAATGAATACAAATAGATCATACTGATCCTTTATCACATTGTTATTTGATCTAGTGTAACTAGGATAATGAATGAATTCTGTTAACTAATGACAAATATCTTCTTTTTTTGGTCTTTTTATAGAAATAAAATGGTATGGTATCTGTTAAGATAATCTAATGAAACAATTTGAATTCAACAACTAAGACTCAAATAACTCAATAATGATAAGTAAAACAAATTAGATTTCAAGATACTATCAAGATATTAGAATAGGGGTTTGTGGGGATCGTTATGATTTAAATAGTTGAATTTTATGAGTCAATTTAAATTACACTGCGATGGAAAAGCTGAAAGTACTGGATGGTCGTTTCGTCTTAGTATGGGATTGATCAGAAGTGCATATTTATAGTCCCACACTAAAGGGACTCGAACCCGGGACCTTCGTGTGAACGCGTATAAACGCTTAACCTATAGATCAATGAGTCAGCTCCCAATATTGTTAATATCTAATATCAATCAATTCATGATCTTTTTCAACCATTCACCATTTTCTAAGGTAGATAAGTATCTCTACCCAACACGGGTTGGACTCCATTGATCAGAGCTTCTCTCTAGAACTGCAGGAAACCAGTCACTCGTAACTACATGATCATAATTATTAGAAAGGTAGTTTATAATTAGATTATAGTTATATATTAAAACTGTTGGATACCAGTCAGCTCAATGGTCTAGGTTTTAAGCATGTGTTTAAGTTCTTTTAATGAGAGATCGTGGATGCTCACTGCTGAAAACTTCCATAGTAAAACAAAACAGCCGTTTAGTGCTCCCAGATTTTCAATGATGGTCGATTCATAAATTCAACTATTAATATCACTATCAAGATAAATATATCTAACAATATATGAATAGGTCATCAGTTAATTGAATTAATGATGATCTGGAAATCTTGACATTATTCACTCAGTATCATATTCAATAATATTGATTATATTGCATTTTCTACAAATCCCTATCTCTCATTCACGCACTCACTCATTCATTCATTCACTCACTCACTCACTCACTCACTCACTCACTCACTCACTCACTCACTCACTCACTCACTCACTCACTCACTCACTCACTCACTCACTCACTCACACACACACTGATTGTAACTTGATACTTAATACAGAAATCCAAATTAATCAATATGAGTAAAATATTTAATCATATGACTTGCATTGCATTCATTCAAATCATTATCAATTATTGATTTTAGTCTCGATATGGTAACAAGGTGTTCAATAATAAAATAGTGATTCATTTAGTTACTGGATTTATTTACTTCTTATTGATTAGAACTATTTACATCACTATGTAGGTCTTATGAGATAGTTAGAAATCTATACAACATTATCATATGTCTATGAATTGATGAAGTTAAGTAACTAGAGATGATCTCAAATGAAGTATAAGATCTAATTACCGATTCTTATAATCATTTCATTGAAGTAGGTTCTTCAAAGTTTATCGATAACGAATGATGTTTCTAGGTAACTTTGTAATAGAAAACAAAAGAGTAAACATTTCTTCTTCTACATACTTAACTAACTAGAAATTGAAAAAAACAACAACAACTAAAACTGGGATCATTAAAAGAACATGAATTGCTGGAATTAATCTAAAGTAAATATAACTGTCGAGACCATTATCACAGTGTGGTGTATATTTTACATATGTCAACAAATATAAGTAGTATGTAACACTAATCGAAAATGAAAATCTTAACAGTAGAAGGTTAAAAAGATCAAGTTGAAAAGTAAAATAGAAATGAAAATAGATAAGAATGATAACTTGAAAGAATCATACAGAATGTGATGAGCAAATAATGGAAATTTATAAATGAACACTTCAATGTATAGTTCTTATATTTTACCAAGTGATTCTATACTTTTCTATTAAAATACATCTAATAATTGAATTCATGAGTCACTTGAAGCTAGACCACCGTGGAAAACCTGGAAGCACTGAACGACTGTTTTGTCCTATTTCAGGACTCCTCAGCAGTGTGCATCCACGATCCCGCCTTGCGGGATTAGAACCCAGGAACGATCAGTCTCACGCGTGAACGCTCAACCTCTACACCACTGAGCTGGTATCCAACCTTGTTAATGTCTAACTTCAACTAATCCACGAAGTTGAGAAACATATCCACCATTGTCATCAGTGAGTTACTATCTCACAACAGACCCGATTGAACTCCACTGAGCACTGCTTCTCAGTAGAACTCCGGGAAATACCCCTTGAAACCAGTCACTAGTGAGTATACGATGATTATTATCAAAAGGGGTTTTGTGGAGATTTAAGTAATTCTAAAGTTGAATTCATGAGTCAATTGAAGCTAGACCAACATGAAAAACCTGAAAGCACTAGATAGTCATTTCATCCTATTATGAGACTCCTCAATAGTTCACACCCACCATATAACCTTATGAAACTCAAACTCAGAATCTTACTTTCAATCATAACAACAACAACAACAAAAAACAAAAAGGAAACAACGAAATCATAATATGAAATTATCTATCCATTTGAATAATCTTACCTTCTAAGTATTTTGACAAAGATAAATATCCCTTGACCATCAGATATATCATCAACATATGAAATAGACATGATAATTTATTGTAAATGTATAAGGAACTGTAAACAATTTGACTTTTGTATCACTTTCACCTATTATAAATCGGTATCTATATATCCTTCTCTTTCTTTCTCTTTATATATAGATGTATAAAGCTACACGTTTCTTTGATAGATGCTAATCTTAAAGCCAAACTTATAATAATTTGAGTTCAATATTATCAAGAGTTTATCCAATTATAAATGTATGAATTCTTATTTACAGTTAAAGAATTTCTATTTTATTCATTTTTATTTTGTTTTTGTTTTCTTTTTTTTTTTACTTTTTCTTTTTGTCATTTATTATTCATTTAATTAAGTAGTATAATTATTGCATTTTTGAAAAAAAATGCGTAGGTGTACAAATACATTTGTGCGTGCATGCGTGTGCGTATACGTGCGTACGTATCTATGAAAGTGTGCATGTGTATTCTCATCTGTGTGTTATTATTTATTATTGTTGCTGGATTCAATTATCGGAACAGTGAATTGTCATTATGATTTTGGCATTTTCACTATCATATTACATTATTCTTAATGGAATGATTAAGGTCATATGATTTGAATTATGATTGGTCAATTGAATTAATGAGATATTTTCATTTATTATAATTGGATAAAAAATATGGCACAGAGATTAAATAGTGCAAGCGAGAGAGAGCGTGAGAGAGAACGAAAAATATTTTCTTTTATGAATCGATAATGTGGTTTTAATGATGGTACTACTCAGTGAATGTTTCTCTCTCTCTCCCTCTCTCGCTCTATGTGTGTGTATGTGTTTGTATATGGAATATACAGGAAACTGTGTGAAAATCAATTTATGAATTAAGATATAAATATCTCTGAAAGAAAAAAGATTCTTTCATTTTGATTGAGATCATGAATCGATTGATGTTAGAGCACCTTTGGAAACCTGGAAGCACTGGACGGCCGTTTCGTCCTATTGTGGGGCTCCTCAGCAGTGTGCTTCCATGATCCTACTCGCGGGATTCAAACACAGAGCCTTCGGTCTCGCGCGCAAGTGCTTGACCTACTGGACCACTGAGCCGGCATCCATTTAGTCAATCATTTAGTCAATCAACAGCGTTGATGTGTACTTCAGGACTCAGCAATTAAATGGATAACGTGGTGGAGTTTGAGGCAAACATTGCTGGGTTCGAGTCTCAGAGTGAACATTAACTCTGACATTCAGGTACATCTAGCTGACGAGTCCTGAATAGGACGAAACATGCGTGAAACTGGATTCCACTTTTGACCACTATCGATCTTTGCTTATAAAGCTTGTAACTGAAGGCAATATCGAGGCAATCTGCATAGGATACACATATGCCAATAAGAGACCGATCAATTTCAGTCGTAAACAACAATGGACAGATACAAGTAAAACAACACCCAGTGAATTTAGACAGTCTACTGATTGATAAAGTTTTCTTTATATTCATTAATTAACAGAACATTTTTGATCAACGTAGAATTGGCAAGACTGTACTTAATGGATGACCATTGAACATTACTGAAGTAACCTTGAGAAAGTCAGTCCACATTCTAAGGTGAAATGAAGTTTATAAAGCAGTGTAAAGAGTAAGGATTATGATTTACATTTGACGGTTAAGGTTAGAAATTAGATTTAGTGTTGACATCACGAACTGACATCAGGTAAAATGCCAAAACTCTAATTAATCAAATAAGTGAATGAATTTCGTGCAAAAATCAAAGATTGGTTGTCCTAAATCTGATTGGTTCTGAAGATGACACAGGTATTCAGTGTTTGACAACGCTTCTACCAGTAACACCTTCTAATATGATTCGTTCCCACCCAGAGAAATCAAAAGACAGAGTCGAGGAGATCGGAAGAGTATATTTGGCGATAACCAATATATCGGAATTCTCTGATCTAATCTGGCTAGCGATTGCGGTAAATGTTGAGCACGGCGTTACCACAAGTGATCTGGTGCGGATGCCTGACCGAGCACCTTCAGCTAGATGAGTCCAATAAAACATATGGTCAGCATCCAATGTCGAAAACTTACAGAGCTATTTATTTTGGGGATTTATTTACCGCTACAGTTCTTATAGTATCGCGGTAGAATCAATCTGGGAAAAGACACATTTCGATCATCTTTTTACTTAAATATTTGTAAAATAGATGATTTACATAGTATTTAACAAAGTTATTCTTGTCAGTCCTTACTGAAACTGTTCAGATAGGAGAAATTAAGGGCATTAGGGTAAGACAATGATAATTGATATTATTAATTGATGATATAAAAAATGAATGATTGATTATTTCATCATTGATTTTTATGACTGAGATTTGATCAGTTGTGATTGGCTTATGTACTTTGGCATAGTTATAATAACTCCAGTTGATATTGAATAAATGGGATGTAGTTAGAAGTGAGATCTAGGACTATGAGATAATGCAATGAGTTTTGAAACAAACAATACTGGATTTGAACTATGGATTGAACATTCATTTTGAAATGTAGGTAAAACCAGTTTATGAGTTGTAAACAGTACAAATCGTACGTTATGAGTTCTTTTTGATTGAGATCATGAACCGATCGATGTTAGACTACCGTTGGAAACCTGGAAGAAGTGGGCGGCCGTTTCGTTCTAGTATGAGACTCCTCAACAGTGCTCATCTACGATCCCGCCTCACGAGATTCCAACCCAGGACCTATCAGTCTCGCGCGCGAGCGTTTAATCACTAGACCACTGTGTTGGTGGTCGCAAGTCAGCTTGATTGATGTGTTGTATCCGGACGAATAATAGGTGAATGGTAACAGCTAGGATCTATTAGTGGACTATTATTATATATTTACTTATTGTATGATTATTAACTAACTATACTATATGTATATCCATATTCCATATCTGTAGGGTTATTATTATACGAACCCATGACCTATCGGTCTCGTGAGCGAACGGTTAACCTATAGACCACTTAGCTGGATCAGTGGGTCCTGGGTTTGAATCTTGCAAGGCGGGATCGTGGATGCGCACTTCTGAGTCACAATAATCTTTAGGTTGATATTTTGACTTATTTTAGAATTAGGCGAGAAACTACTATCTCGCTAGACCAATAGAAGCTCAGGATTGACTCTAGACTGTTCATACTGGCTTATATGCCATTGGCCTGGTCAGTAATTTGGCGTTCTAATTAGCAATTGTATTACGTGATAATTGACAGGCCGTTGGAACATAACATGACATTATTCGGTCAATCTGATGTTCACGAGCATTTTAGTAAAGTCTGACAACTGCTAACATTGAGATCTTGGATGCTCGTTTAATTCGGTTTGGTTTGATTCAAGTATCGGTTTTCAAATTTAGACCTAAACTTATTATCTTTCAATTTGACATATTAAAACATCTAGACTATCCAGTGTTGATTTATCTTTCAGTTTGATTCCACTTACCAATTATTAAATTTCAATCATGATAAACCTCTGTCTATAATAAATTTCATCATTTAAATTCACTTGATGTTGTTTTACTTTTATCTTCCCATTACTATTTACAACTACGATCGATCAGTCTCATGTTGGCATATGTGCATCCTCATACGATTGTCTCGATATTACCTTAAGTCACAAGCTTTATTTTAAACAAAGATGGATAGTGGCTAGCGATAGATTCCAATTTGAAGCATGTTTCGTTCTATTTAGGCCTCATCAGCTATATGTACCTGCATCTCAGAGTTGATGTTTACTAAATGAATGACGTGAAGACATTTGAAGTGAATAGTAATGGATTAAAGTCTCACAGTTAATATCAACTCTGAAATTCAGGTACATCTAGCTGATTCATCCCATATAGGATGAAACATGAATCAAACTAGCTTCCACTACTAGCTACTATCCATCTTTGTTTAAAAATGTCATCATTGTTTTTGATTCATTCCTAAAACTCCATCTTCATCTTTAAAGAGTAAATTGATGAGGACCTAGAACAGTGAACAGGTTCCCTATACTATCTTGATAGTCTTCAATAATAATAATAACATATTCTACTACATTCAAACCATAGAAACAAAACAAAGCAAAAAGCAAAAACAAAAGAAGAAATCATTTTTCATTCAACCTACACATTGAAGAATGTTGATTATGATTTGAAACATACGATATTACCTATGTAATAATTCAATTTTTCTAAGATTTTTACACAATTAGATAACAGATGTCTACTTCTTAATGAAATCATATCTCTTACTATATATATAGATAGAGAGATGATAAAAATATGTTATACTCATTAAGAAAACGACATTCCATCAACAATTGATCCATATATATTCATGAATTAGTTACTATGCATTGAACTCATTTGATTCTATAGAACTAATATTTGTATATTCTTGAAAGAAAAATAAACAAAACAAACAATAACAAACTAAAGATTCATAATGATATGACTAGAGAAACAGAATGCTTTTTGTTACTATCCATATGTTTTCAATATAAGTGAAAGGTATAGTTAGTTAACCGCTTCCCTATAACTACCATAAAAACACACATAGACGCACGTATGTACGCGTACGCTTGCAACCTCCGCACACATACACACGCACATACACACACATACACACAAACACACTTTAGAATCATTGTATCTGTATTGAAATGGATAAATCAAAAGAAACGAGAAATTCACTGAAATATTTCAGTTAGAGATAATTTTTTATGTTTTATTTCTATTTTGTTTGTTTTTATTCAAGAAATCAATTTGTGTTTTTAAGCGCGAAAAGAAAAAAATTAAAATAATTAAACATACATAAGAAGACATCTGTTTTATTCGCTAATCAAACTAAGGTTTTTTTGCCTTTTTTCTCTTTTCTTTTTGTTGTTGTGGTTGCAACTTTACTGTAAATCAATGAATATGATTGGATTGTAATCAGAGTGGATTGTTGTGTTGTAATGATTTTGACGACAACCGTTTCATAGAAGTATGGTACTCGTCAGCAGTGCGCATACACGATAATGATTCGTGGGATTCGAATCTAGGACCTATTAGTCATAAGTGTGAGCGCTTAATCTCTTGACCATCTAGTATATCGGTATCCAATGGTGTTCATGTGTCACTTCAGCTAATCTATGAAATCGAACCCGAGAAAATAAATTAATTGAACATACATAAGAAGACATCTGTTTTTTGTTCGCTAATCAAACTAAGGTTTTTTTGCTTTCGCTAATCAAACTATTTTCTCTTCTTCTTTCCCTTTTCTTTTTGTTGTGGTTACAACTTTGTTGTGAATTGATGAGTATGATCGAATTGTAATCAACGTAACTTGTTGTATTGTAGTGATTTAATTAAATTATATTAACAGATCACATATACATGAATTTAGTTTTATTATTATTGTTAGAAGGGATTGAAATCATGAGTCATTTGAAGCTAGATTTTTTAAAGTTAGACATTAACACTGTCGGTTGCCGGCTTAGTGATCTAATGGTTATGTAGTGAACAGAACACGGGTGGTAACAATCGAATTG